TTCCTTTCAACCTTATTGAAATCCATGCAATTATTGACCTTCTTTCCCATTAATCCAAAAGTCTGAATGTCTACTTTAGAAAACGTTCCTGACATTTATCTTCTTAAACCATGCTATTCTTTGCCGTCTATTTAGTACAACCTAAGCTACAGAAATGAATCAGCTTTACTTCAAAAGGCAAAAGGGAAAAAAAAAAACAATTGTGGCATCCAGAAAATTAAAATAATCATCTTTCAATAAATAACAGGAGCTAACCATTACTACCAATTCATGTAAAACGTAAATAATTAAGCAGCTGATGCATTTCAAAAGGCATATGAAAAATTATCATAGATGTTGTCTTGATAAAAAATAAAGTTTTAAATACTTTGAACACTGGTTTAATGTACTATTATTTTACAATTAGAAGCTTATAGAATAATTCTTACTGAATTTAGTAATTCATACTAACACTATGGCTGTGTCTACATTGGCACCCCTTTCCGGAAAAGGGATGCTAATGAGACCAGTCGGAATTGCAAATTCCGCGGGGGATTTAAATATCCCCCGTGGCATTTGCATTTACATGGCTGCCGCTTTTTTCCAGCTCGGGGTTTTGCCGGAGAAAAGCGCCAGTCTAGACACGATTTTCCGGAAAATAAGCCCTTTTCTGGAAGATCCCTTATTCCTACTTTCAAGTAGGAATAAGGGATCTTCCGGAAAAGGGCTTATTTTCCGCAAGATCCCGTCTAGACTGGCGCTTTTCTCCGGCAAAACCCCGAGCCGGAAAAAAGTGGCAGCCATGTTCATGCAAATGCCGCGGGGGATATTTAAATCCCCCGCGGAATTTGCAATTCCGACTGGTCTCATTAGCATCCCTTTTCCGGAAAGGGGTGCCAATGTAGACACTGCCTATGATTTTTTGCTTCTGTATGGAAAAATTTGACAATTTAAAAAATTGATACCATCCACTGAAAATATGAGGATGTCTCCCATCTATCCCAATAATAAGAACCACATATATCAAAAACAAGCACATCAAAATAAACAGATTCAAGAAGAGAATATCTCTTTTAAATAAAAGAATGTTAGAAGTCTGAAAACACAGGTCTTAAAATAGTATTAGAAATCTTCCACACTTCCGGAGGAAACATATGCCATAGCCGCCACTGTACCACTCACTCTAGTATATATGTATGTACATGTAAGGGAAAACATAGATGTGTGAATATCATTTAAGCAAGCTGGGCAATTTTTGCTATGCTAGTTATCAATTCCTAGAACAGAATTTCTTCATGCCCATAAAATTGCTGACCTCTCTTCTGAGAGTTCAAAAATGGATTTTTTTGAGCAATTAACACATCTCCACTAAGAGAAGGGCTGCAATCACTCATTTTACAGCACAATACAGCTGTCAGACATAACTACCTTAGTGCAGGGTAGGAAAGGCCAAAACTGGATCCAGAAACCCTACAGATTAAAAGTTCTCTATTCCCATTATCAGATGCCCGAACCAGTCTCCATTGACTACTTCATTTAGAGGAAAGGCAGTATTTAAAACTCAGCCATGACCATCTTAATGATATTTAAGCTTAAAATTTATAGGAACAACTAATAGCAGCTTCTTTATTTAGATTGCCTACCATGTTCAATTATAAAATATATTAGCAACTATTTTTTGACACACAACATAACACCTCTCTTGTAAGTACCCAATTCAGTAAGGAAAAAGCCTTAGGCTAGAGAATTAACTAAATTCTGGCAGCCTGCAAATAGGACAACTGAATATAAACATTCTGAAGAGCCAGGTCTGAGCCACCATGAAAGGAGTACCATCATCACATATTGTACTAGGAACACCTAGAAGCTGTCAGCATCTGTAGTGGAACGGGGCAGGAGGAAAGCATGCCAAACTAGTTTGCCACATCCAACCAAACCCCTTTTCTAGCCCTGGCACATGGTTTCAGTATCTCAACTCCCCCTTCCGGGGCCACCCATGAGGCAGGAGTCCCACACTTCCTGGACAGGAGATGGGAAAACAGATCATCAACCTTACTGTCACCACACTCAAAAAAACAAACCATAACACTTCTGCTGCTGCCAGCCAATGTAAATTTAAGACCTGTAGCTCCAGGGTAGTAGTCTGTGTTGCAGAATCAAAGCTTCAGGGTTCAAACCCTGAGGTTAATGCACAATGGAGAGATTGTTACAGCTGCACATAACAGAAATTGTTTTAATTTTTTTCCTTTTAAAAACACAGCTAATTACATATAAACACAAAATGGATCGTCAGACCCAAAGACCTCCAATTCTTCAGAGGCCAAAGTCACGGAGGATAGGTCCATCTATGCTTTTTAACCAGGATGGATAGAAATGGTATCCCTAGCCTCTGTTGTCAGAGGCTGGGACTGGGCGACAGGGGAGGAATTACTTGAGGATTACCTGTTCTACTCTGGAGCACCTGGTATAGGCTACTGTCGAAAGACAAGATATTAGGCTACACGGACCTTTTGTCTGACGCAATATGACTGTTCTAATGTTCTTACCTAAAGCACTGATGAAGATATTGAACAGAAACAGATGCAGAACTGATCCTTAGGGGACAGCACTTGAAATTCCCTTTCAACATGACTGTGAACCATTGATAACTAACTTCTGGAAACAGCCTTCCAACCAGTTATGCACCCACCTTTATAATAGCTCAATTTAAGTTGTATTTCTTTAGTTTGTTTATGAGATGGTCATGCAAGACAGTATTAAAAGCCTTACTAAAGTCAAGATATGTAGATTCCCTGCAAATCCACGGATATCTGCTTTATACCTGTGGATATTCACATCCGTGGATGTCAATGTGGATACCTGCAGCTCATTTTTACCAGTACGGATCAAATACGGATACAAATTTTGTATCTAGAACCCTGCAAAGCCACAGATATCCATGGCTCATTTTTGCAGACACAAACGTGGATGCTGTTATAATATTGTGTATCCATGCAGGGCTCTAAAGATATATCACATCTACCACTTCCCTCCCTATCGACAAGGCTAGTTACCCTGTCGAAAAAAGCGATTAGGTTGGGTTAACATGATTTTATTTTTGTCAAACTGTTGCTGTTACTTATCACCTTATCTTCTAGGTGTTTGCAAATTGATTAAGTAATCATTTGCTCAGGTATCTTTCCAGGCATGGACGTTAAGCTGACTGATCTATAATTCCCCAGGTTGTCCTTTCCCCCCCAGTCTGCTATTGTACACAGCACTGATTCATCTCCAGAGCTGGTCACCTTGTGGAAAAAGTCTATGTGAGTCTTAAATTAAAGGCTTTATTGTTATGCATTTGTACAAGGGGACAAATTAAGGTTGCAGAGATCATTTTTATTCTGGCATTTCCTAATTTGTGTGTGTGGCTTTTCAACCCTTAATGTGGTGTTTGTATACAATTTCTTAAGTTTCTGAAAAAACTGAAAAAACAAATGCTATCATAAGGCATATAATCACCACATGGGCCATTAGCAGGATAGAAACCTTCAGATTCACCACATAATCCTTTGCTACTTGAGATAACAGAGTAACTGATAGGAACAGTAACAGTAGACTGTCCTGTTATATGCAGGCTTGCACTAGAGATGAATGAGACCTTGTGCCAGTGGTTTCCACAGATATTTGTTGACAACATACATAATGTTGCAACCTATTTAAACTATACCCATTGTCTTCTTGTCTTATGACTTGACTGGATAGTGTTACAGTCAGATATTTCCAGCTGTCAGCTGGAATGGATTAGCAAGGATATAATAAAATATCTTAATAGCTGAATAGACAGTATCAAGCGTTTATTCATTGATGCATATTTTACATCAGCTACAAGACATCTCTATTTTTTCCCATTTTTGAAAATTTCCAGATGTGTTTTAATAGTTTTTATTCAGTGATCTACACTGTATGATGTAAAAGGAACACTTAAGGTTTTAATCACAGAAATATCACTTTTTTATTGTTAAAGACTGAGACCGTTTATGTTCAGCATAAGCTATAACAAGAGAATCCATAGTATTTTAAACAAAAATCAGCAGAGGGGAAAGTACATTTGGTTTCAGAACTGGACATTTTCTTAAATACAAATGATGAGCTGCTGGGAAAGTGATACCCCGTTGTTTTAAAGGGCTTCAATTTTACTGGAAGTTCAGCGCACATTAAATGCTTCCAGCTGAAAGCTAACTAACAAAAAGCTTTTACACTAGGGGAGAGAGGGAACATCTACCAAATAACAGCAAAATAGTGAGTATACATGTAATCCAAGATGCCTTTTTGCAAAACACAAAATTTATTTTACCTATTACTTTGCTTGAGTAATCAGTACTTTGATTCTAAAAAAGCATTTAACTGATCTTACAACTTTGAATATATCCCCCCTTTATTTTCTTTTAACTAACTGGTTGCCAACTAAATGAAAAAGGCTCTCAAGCTAGTGTTGACAGGCAAGTTAATAGTGCTTAGGCCCCTTATTTCAAGGCAGGGATTTGTCCTTACTCTGGGGAAAGTAGGAAGTGTCAACCTCCAGGAACCCACCTGGGCTGAACCACAGCAGCAGAAACAAATGGCTACACAGAACTAACTTCCATCCCAGAAAGAAGGCAGCTGCAATGCAGGGCCTACAGTATGATATGGGAAGAAAGGAGGACTGATGGGGAGTCCTTTTCCTTGTCAACAGGGTATATAGTTTTATTGCTAATTTGGTAATGTAATAAGATTATACAATATTGAACAGAAAGAAACTCTGGAATC